TCCCGAAGTAGCTAATGGAATTACCGGTGATTTAGGTTGGTTCGCCGGAGGTTGAACTTACGTTGAAGGCTGCAATGATTGTTCCTTAGCCTGAATCGCCGCTTCAGACTTCAGCCTCCATACTTGGAGAATTTGTGGCGGCTTCTTGGCCACTTCCTTCTGCAGTCTTCTGCGGGCTTCTTGGACTGGAGCCCGTGCTTGCGCTGACAGTGCGCGGCGCTTGTGAATGCGCTCATCAAGTGTTGAACGATTCCGTTTGACACGGATCCATTCATTCGTTGGCGGCTTGGAGGAGCTGCCATTCATTGGTTGTTGAGGCTGTTTGCTCCGTTTGACACGGATCCATTCGTTCATTGGCGGCTTGGAGGAGCTGCCATTCATCAGTTGTTGAGGCTATTTGCCTCCCCTGTTCTTTAGATTCGTGTTATAGCGGATCCCATCAATGGATTCCATTGCCTTCGCAAATTGTCGTGCCAAGCGTTGACGTCGCCTCTGGCGGGCTCTCTTTGAAAGAGTCACTACTCCCTCAGTGACGGAGGAATTGGCAAGAACAGACTTGACCTGGTTGGAGGTCGGTGGAGCTTCACCCGATGCAACTTTAGCATCAATTGGGGTGAGATCTTCGTTGGTATTCTACACTTCTTTGTACCAACAGACTTTTCTCCTAGAGGAGAACTTCTTAGACTTGAGGGGGGAGGTGGATCCGGACGAGGATGACAGATACTCCTCGAACTTTTGTTGGTCGAATTCATACTCGACCTCCTCCTCGACCGGGATTGAGATCCGCGGCTATGACGCAACGATCTCGGCATCAAGATTGGTGGCTCCTACTGTGGTCGCCAGATTGTTCGCGGGAAAAATTGCTTTCATTGATGTCATTGTTTTCTTAAGCAACAGTTTATCGGTTACAAAAGATCCGGTCTTTTTATAAGATACGGTTACAACAAAATCAAAAAGATTACAACTTTCCTTTTCTGGAACAAATCACAAGATCCTGATTTGCGGTCTCTTGCTTGTGTGGGTTCTTTGCCTACGCCAGGGTTAATCCGTGGACCACCGCGCGATCTTGATCCGATCGGATCTACACGGTATGACGGGTGTTATTTCACGAAGGAAATAACAGCCGAGGGATTATTTCACCAAGGAAATAATAGCCCTAAGTAATCGAAATCGAACAAGCGAAATCGATACTCTTCTCGGGATCAAAAAACCAAGTTTTGATCCAGAGGATGACCGTGTGGATCTCAGATCTGATCTCTCTCGAACTCCTGCCTTATTTGACGTGGATGATCGCCAAGAACCAGATCTGAAAAGTCCGAGTCTTCAAAGCTCCAAAACTCCAAAGTTTAGCTCTCAATCCAGCAGAGTTTTCACCTCCAAAAGTNGTGGCTCGGTTTTGGCCGAGCCCTCCAGGTGTTTGCTTCTTCACCCGTTTTCCGGTTTCGTGGTTCATCCGAACTTCATTGTTGATCTGGACTCTGATTTGGTAGTTTGGATTCTGATTTGGCAGTAAATCCGCTTTGGTGTTCGAGTTCGAGTCCGCTCCCGATCTTGTTTGATGTGGTGGACCCTACGGTTGGATGACTCGTTGATTCATCGACCCGTTAGCTTGATTGGGCACGCGATTAGATGTATTCCGTTGTTTGCGTGCGGTTCGTTAACCTCGTCACCTCGTTAATCCTCTTCGTCGCGTGTCACTTGGCTTCGGTGTTGTGGTCTAACGATCATGCTTGGATATATCGCTCGATGGTTCGTTGGTTTGTCGAATCACCATGCCGAGCTGTGTTAAGCGACCTATAAGCAGTTTTATACGCCTACAGTTATTTGGATGCATCTTTATTTGATTATAACCAGAAAATCCATCCATTAAGGACATTCTCTTAAACACACATGTATTGTCGATGATAACATCAGTGGTGGGAAGAGAGAAATCGTCCTTCGGGCAGGCGGTGTTAAGATCTCTAAAGTCGATACAGATCCTGATTTTTCCCATTCTTCTTAAGGACCGGAACAATGTTGGCAAGCTATTAAGGATGTTGCTCCTCCCTAATAAAACCCAAGTCAATAAGCTTTTTAACTTCAGATTCGATCGCCTCCATAATTTGCGGACGAAACCGTCTTTACTGTTGTTTGACAGGTTTAACATCTGGCTTAATGTTGAGGCGGTGCATTACCACATTTGGATCAAGTCCTGGCATATCTTTATAGTTCCAGGAAAAAACATCGATGTGTTCCCTAATGAGGGCAACAAACTCTTCTTTCTCATTTGGCGGGAGGCCATTGCTAATGAATATTGGCTTCGGGTTATCCTCATCACCCATGTTCACCTGGGTTACTTGGTCCTCAGTAGGAGGTTCCCTTTGTTCAAACCTATCACTGTACTATATATTCAGGTGATGAACCCAAGGGTCTTTCCAAGTTGGCATTTGATCATCTTCCTATATTGTGACGGGGTCGATCTTAGTCATGTTTGACATTAGTCTTTTGAACATTTCTCTAAGACTAGCGTCGGAGTCTCATGCTGAAGAATGGGAAGAATATCCGTCTTTACCCTTATTAGCTATTTGACTGATTACTTGCCAGTAGCACTCATCATCGGATGAGGAGACATAGCCTAAACCTCTTTTGTAGCTATAATAATTATCGGGTTTTCCTTTTGGTACATAGGCCATACGAGGTGGAACTCGCAGACCTCGACCAAAATAAAGACCTTCCCCAAGTGCGAAGTTATATCCTTATTTTTCCATGAGATTGCGTGCTTTTGAGCCGTATCTGAATTAATGAGGAGCAGATTTTGCTGGGTCCTTTTGTTTTGATGTTGATTAACAAACAATTTACAACTAATATTGGTTGTATAGTGTTTGTGTTTTGTGTTTATTCTAGGCAAACAATATGTTGGAGGACGGATGGAATCGAGCATTCACGATCAAATCCAATGGAGGTTGGCGGAATTGTGGAGTGAAGCAATACAATTAAAGTTAAAAATTCAAGTTCAAGCTTCATCCGCAAGTTTACCAAGTTAAGCTTATTGAAGACCCTCATCAAGCTTGGGTAATTTAGTTTAGGTTTTATACTTGAGTGTAGATACTTTAAGCTCATATATACACACACACGTATTTGGTTTTTATATATAGTTATATATATATACACATTTTGGTTTTATCCACAAATAAAGTTTTTACAAATAAATTCCAAAAAATGTTTATACATGTGGATAAGTTGTTTTGGTATTATAGATATGAAATAAGAATTTTATTTATACACATCTCATTTGTTTCATATTCTATTGTATTTGCAAAAATATTGTGTTTTTAGTTTATAGACTAAACATTCACTGTATACATCTTTTATTATGTTTATAAAATCATTTTGTAAAGTTTCAAAACATGATTTAGCTAAAATATCAAAAACATGTGTTTTGTATTTTTATGTTTTGGACTAGTTTTAAAAATGATAAGATTTTACTTTTGGGAAGCGCAATTCTAAAAATTCCTTTTGTAACATGTTTATTATCATGTTTATAATCATATCCCAAAGTTTTACATTCTTCAGAATTTGTTTGCTATTTTTAAAAGCATTTTAAAATTAGATTTCTTCTTTAAACAGGCTGTATATCTGTTATCAGTCGAATGGTCAGTCGACTGATGAAATTAATCGACCGATCAGTCAACTGAAGAAAGTGTCTGTAATTTAAAAAAGTTTCTGTTTTGTTTTGGTCGAATGACCAGTCGACTGATAAGGTCATCAGTCAACTGATAAGGTCCGTCAGTTGATTGATGAGGTGGAAAACGCCTCTAACGGTCAGCTCATCAGTCGACTGATGAAAGCCGTCAGTCGACGGATGCTATAACGGCTAGTTTTTTCCAGCATGTTCCAGTTTTGGGTTTTTGGTCTTTTTGCTTTGATTTTCTTGTGTTTTGGGGTCTCTATAAATACCCCTCATACCTCAGACCAATTTTGGTCTTTTTGCTTTGATTTTCTTGTGTTTTGGGGTCTCTATAAATACCCCTCATACCTCAGACCAAAAATAACCCAAGAGAATGTTTTAAGAGAGTTTAACAAGGGTTTTAAAGTTTGGTTTAAGTTTGTTTAAAAAGCTTTTAAGCAATTTTTAAGTTTCAGTTTGTGAAGAGAATTTCACAAGAGCAAGTAGAGATCATCCTTTGGTGTTTGAGCATTCACTCTTCTCCCTATCTCTTGTTATCATATAGAGAAGTTTTTCTAAACTCAATCAAGCTATTTTATATGTTTTATTTTTATTTCCATAAGTTAGAATTTATTTGAGTTTAGTTTTGATTTACTGATTGTTTACACACACAACCATTGAGCTTATTGTATTTTTATACATTGTATAATTTGGGTTGTGGGGTTTGTGTCACATTGAGTGTGAGCTTACATAGAGTTCTCATCCTTTGTAGAGCACAAACTTTGTTGTAATTGTGCGTTAATTATGAGGTTCACTTTGTATTACACTAGTACACCAAGAGGAGTGTGTGGTGAGAGACGAGATCGTACCGAGAGGGGTGGGGTAGGTGGTAATGCCTAGAGAGAGGATGTAATTCCTAACACTTGAGGGAGACATGAGCTAGAGACCAACACTTGATGTGGTAGTTAGTGTAGTTACATTGTGAGTGATTGTAAAGTTTTCGGTGAGCTAAAAAACTGAGTGTGATGTGTAAACGATATTCGGGTGAGCATAGAAAACCCGACTATGATAGTGGAGATCTCCTCAAGGTGAGGAGCAGGGACGTAGATCGTGGGGACCGAACTCTGTAAACATATTTTTTGTTTGTGATTACATTGGCGCACTTATTTCTGTGTTTATATCTTTATCGCCATTCTCTCATTGTTTATTTTATCCCACTATATTGTTTACTCTTATGTTTATATCCTTGCATATATTGTTAGGACTCATGTATATGAGCCTACTTTTGAATCTTGTTTTGATGATTTTGCAAACAATTTATAATATGTTTTTCAATATTTGTTTGTTGTTTCAGGTTGAGTAACTCAAGAGTTTCATTTTTGTAGAAGCTTATTCAACTCATTCAAATCCAAGATTTAGCTTCTCATGCATATCATCTTGGTACAACTAGCATAGGACTTTATGTTGTGTGAATATATCTCAAGCTCAATATACATATAACACACACATTTGTTTTTAATGTGATTTTGTCAATATACTGAGATATCACTGTATAGACTTATTTTCAGCTATATACAATTTTTCTTAAGTCTACAAATTCATTTAAAAAGGCCTCATATCCTTGTTTATCTCAGTTGTTCAAAACTAAGAAAGTTTTACACTTATATTACATGTTTTAGCAAAACTATGAGATTTTTACAAACAGTGAATCACGTTTGGAAAATTCCTTTTGGAACATACTCATATATATGTTTATAAACTATTCTCCAAATTTTACATTTTTTGGAATTTATTTGATAATTTTTAACATGGTCCAAAGTTTATCTTTTCTGTATTTTTCTGTTCTGTGCACGTATAGTCGACTCATAAGTCAACTTATAAGTCGACTTACGAAGTGCAGCGGGATTGCTTTTTTATCTGCTGAGTCGACTCATATAAGTCGACTCATGAGTCGACTCATAAGTCGACTTATCAGAGAGCCATTGCACAGTAACGGCTAGTTTTCGGTTTTATGTGTTTGTGGCTTTTTGGTCTTTTTCCTTGGGCTTTAGCTGATGAATTGAGATGCTATATATACCCATATGTTCTGAACTCTTTGAATTAACCTAGAAGATTCCTTAATCAAGTTTTGAAAGAGTTTAATTTGTGTTTAAGAGGTGTTTAAGCCTTGTTTGGTTTGAAAAAGAGTTTGCATTACAAAAGAGGAGCTTGCATCATTTATTGGGGAGTTCATCCTCAATATCCAATCATCCTCTCTTTGTAGAGAAGTTTTCCTAACTCAACTTTCTAGCATTTATTTCTTGTTAATCTTATTGCTAGTTCTTATTGAGTTAGATTTTATTTAAACTCATTTATCACACACTCTTTTTGAGCTTTATTATATTTCATATAATATATTGGTGGGTAGTGGTGTGTGATTTAGTGAGAGTGAGCTTAATTGAGTTCTCATTAATTAGAGAGAACAATCATTATTATATTGTGCTAATTGAGAGATCAATTGTAATACACTTGTACACCGAGAGGAGTGTGTGGTGAGGACGGAGTCAATACCGAGAGGAGTGGCATCGGTGGCCTAGTGAGAGGTGATAATTCTGAGCACTTGAGGGAGTCGATACGTGAGGACCAACACTTGAGGTTGTAGCTTGTGTATGTACATTGTGAGATTTTGTGAGAGTTGTCGGTTAACTTGATAACCGAGTGTGTAAAGAAGTTTCGGCTTCCAAACCCGGTGTGTCGTGATAGTGAAGTTCTCCTCAAGGTGAGGAGCGGAGACGTAGGTCGTGAGGACCAAACTCCATGATCATATCTTGTGTTTGAGTTTCCCTTGTGTACTTTTATCTTGTGCTTGTATTTTACATTCTAGCTTATATATATCTCTTGCAAGAATTAAATAATTAATAAAGTTTTTTAATTTGGCATAAAATCGAATTAGATTAGCATAAGACCCTAATCACCCCCCTCTAGGGTCTAACAATTGGTATCAGAGCTTGGTGCTCTTTGATTTAAGGACTAATCGCCTTGAGTTAAAGATCCAAGTCGTTATCTTGCTAATCTTGTTTTGATCTTATTTGCTTTCTTGCTTTATATATCATGGACATGTTTAATGCACCCAGTCTCAGTTATGCTACAAATATTGCTCCTAGATTAGATAGTTTTCCCTATACACAATGGTGTATTAGATTTAAGCTATTTGCTAGATCTAATGATATTGATATTTGGGAAATTATCGATTGTGCTTATAGAGTTCCCACTACGGAGAAATCCAAGTGGAATAATGATGACAAAAGATTATTTGCTTTAAACAAGTCTTTGCTAGAATTCTTAATCAATGCCTTTGGCTTATCTTTTGCTAACATTCTTGATTCTTTTGATAGCGCTTATGAGCTTTGGAATTTAACAGAAACACATCAAGGTGATTTGGAGGCTATCCGACAAGAGTTGGAAAATCCCGCCTCAAAATCTAAAGGAGTTTCATCTTCATGTATGCTTCCACTAGGAGATGATCCTAGTGAGGTACGTGAGCTCGAAAACGATGATGATATTTCTTTTGATGAACTTGCACATGAATTTGAAAAATTATTGCATGACAACAAGAAATTGAAACATAGTTTTAAGGAATTGAAAAGCAAGCATGTTCATTTGAAGTCCACTCATGAGTCCCTTGTATCTAAGTTTGATTTCATTGCAAATGAAAATGTTAATTTCAAAGAATGCAATGAAAGATTAAGAAGTGATGTTGCTAAGTTAACTCATGAGAAAAACAATGCCATTCTAGAAGTAAAGAACATTAGAAATGAGTTTAGTAATCATGTATGCTCCAATATCAATGCCCATGTGACTAACAATGATGAGTTGAATGTTATTAAAAATCGCATTTCATCTTTAGATTCAACTCTTAAAACATTTATTGTCAATAATAAGAAACTTATGGACTTGTGTGCAAAATACAATTATAAGAATCCTATACACTATGCACGCATGTATGACAAAGTTCACAAATGTTCTATTTGTGGTCGTAAAGGTCACCTAGCTAAAACTTGTCAAAATGCTCAAAAATTAAACAAGCCCATACATGATTATGTACACCATCAAACTTCTCCATCTCATTCACATGTTCACACACAACATGATAATCATAAACATATCCATGTGTATAAATGTAATTTTTGTGGTCGTTTGGGTCATTTGACCAAGTTTTGTTTGACTTAAAAAGAATTTCTTGTTTGCAAAATAAATTTCAAGACAAACCTATTTTTTGCCAATGAGACATGTGCACAAAAAATTGGTTAACGCAAACCATTTCAAACTCTACATTGCACAAATTACAATCGTATGGGTCATGTATACAATTTTTGCTTTGACCGTATCCATGCAAACTCTACATTGCACAAATTACAATCGTATGGGTCATGTATACAATTTTTGCTTTGACCGTATCCATGCACAAAACACACCCAAATGGGTTCATAACCCTAGGGCCTTGGATTTAAAAGATGGGAGTCATGTCCCAAATTCTTTCGGCACCAAAAACACATGGGTGCCTTTACAAAATTAGTTTAAGTTTCTTTTATAATTTTTGTTTTGTTTTGTAATATGTGTTTCAAACTGCTTTCTTGTGAAAATACTACATACGTAAATATCTTTTAAGAAAACTTTTTAAATGGTTCTAAGATATGATTGACATGTAGTTTTATAAGCATGATTAAGCATGAACACTTTTTATCTTTTAAATACTACAAACATATTACAGATCATCTTTAAAAACTATTTTTCAGGCTATTAGTCGACTTATTGGTCGACTAATGAGTCGACTTATTGGTCGACTAATGAGTCGACTTATAGGTTGACTTACGGCTATTGCTTTCGGGTCTGGGTTGTTTTCTTATTGGATTCACTTGGCTTTGGACCCGTTTGACCTAGATGCTTTTTGGAGACCTCATCCCAGCCCTCCATGTGTTTTTGACTTCATCTTAGCGCTTCAATCTTTTCTTTTAGGTCTGATCCCCTCTTCTCCCAAATTCTTTCGCTCTTCTTCCAAAGTCGACCACTTCATCTGCTCAAACCCGTCAGCTTCCATCTCTGGGATCAACAGCTCTCTTGTCTCTTCTTGATACCACTTCATCTGCTCAAACCCGTCAGCTTCCATCTCTGGGATCAACAGCTCTCTTGTCTCTTCTTGATCCTCCTTTGTCAAGGTATACCCCTCTCTACCTCTCTTTGTTTTATCCTTTAGGACTTTCATCTAGGGTTTCCTTAGAAATTTCTAGGGTTTATGTTGATCTCTTAAATCTGAGTTTATCTTATTTGCAATTGCCTCTATCATGAATGACTTTGTGCCTAAACGTCGTAGGACTGGTAGGGATCACCTTCATCTTCCAATGCTCCTCCTCCCTCCTCCTCTAATCTTGAATATTATGAAAAATATCTTAAACATGAGGATTTAATCCCTAAATATCATGAATTATGTCATCTTAAACCTTTTCCTAGCAAATATGTTAAATTTGATGACTTTGCTCATTTTGGTCTGGAAACTATTTTTAAAAATGCAAATATGGTTAATTTCCTTAGCACTAAAAATGACTCTCCATTTTATCCTCACTTAGTGCATCTTATCTATGCAAATCTCCACCTTGAGTCCCCTCATTCCAGAAATCGTACTATTATTTCTAAAGTAAAAGACACCCGCATAAAATTCTCTGCAGACAAGTTGTCTGATATCCTTGGTTTGCCTCGTGGAGATAAATTGTTGATGGATGTAATCTATGATAATCCTGCCATTGAGGTCCTTTTAGTTCTTCCTGGTGAATCTCTCCCCTTGACTGGTAAAAATGCCTCCAATTTAGCTAAACTTGTCGGTCGTATTGTTTGTTACAACATCATTCCTAAGACGGGGGCATACAGTCATTGTTCTCATGATCTCACTCGTGCTATCTACGCCAATATAGGGAATGTCAATGTTCATTGGGGAAAAGTTCTTTTTGATATCTTGGCATACGATCCCTTTATCTTTATCCCTTTTGGTTCTCTTCTCACCAAAGTTTTCCTCCATTTTGGAGATGATTTGACTGATAAAATCAACCTTCCAGTTCGTCCTTTCTTTGATAGATCAGTCCTTCGCAGGATGGAGCTACCTATCGCTTTCCATGAGCTTCATAATCCTTCAGTTCGTGCTCATTCTCCTGACCCTCATGATTCTGATAGAGAGTTTCCTCTCAGTCATAGCCCTAGAGCTGAGCATCCCCCCTCTCATTCTCCTAGTCATATTGAGGATCTCCTGGCTCGGATGGAGTCTTACCACACTGAGGCTGAGGTTTGGCACCATCAGGATCAAGCGAGATTTGATTTGTTAGAAGAGTCTCATAGGGATCTCAGGTCTAGACTGGATATGATTGATGAATCTCATTCGGATCTTAGAATGAGATTTTCTGAGATCGAGTCCACTCAGTCAGAGATTAGGGAGTCTCAGGAGGCTATTAGGAGGGAGCTTGGTGGGATTAGGACTCATCAGCATACTGATTTGGAGATCATCACTGGCAGATTTGACGATCTTTTCAAGGCTGTTCAGCATCATTCACCAGGTCCAGGGCCATCTGCTCCATGAGGATTGTTATCCTTTGGCTTGTGATATGTTCCTTTCGTTTATGTTTTGTTGGACGATGTTTTTTTTATGATGTAGTAAAACTCTATGTTTTGTTGGGATGTTGTGGTTTGACTTTTCTGGCTTACATATGTAGTGTGTTTCAGTGCTAAATGATGTCTTATGTATATTGCAATATAGTATGTTTAGATGTTTACATTTTCTATCTTATACCTCATGCCTTTTTTATCTAGTTGTAGAAAATGCATGCCTATATAGGATGATTATATTATCCTCATAATCTTATCCTTTATATATCCCGGTGGCTTTCAAATAGGGGGAGCAATACCTACTTCCTTTTTCTCACTCGTGCTTATAGGTAGGGGGAGTTTACACTCTCCTTGTGATTCTTATCCCCTTTTCGATGTTGACAAAGGGGGAGAATATGTGAGTATTGCATTTGCTTTGTATCTTCAGTTAATATTGAACTGCATTTATATATCAAATTGGAAAAATTTTTGTCATCATAAAAAAGAGGGAGATTGTTAGGACTCATGTATATGAGCCTACTTTTGAATCTTGTTTTGATGATTTTGCAAACAATTTATAATATGTTTTTTAGTATTTGTTTGTTGTTTCAGGTTGAGTAACTCAAGAGTTTTATTTTTGTAGAAGCTTATTCAACTCTTTCAGATCCAAGATTTAGCTTCTCATGCTTATCATCTTGGTACAACTAGCATAGGACTTTATGTTGTGTGAATATATCTCAAGCTCAATATACATATAACACACACATTTGTTTTTAATGTGATTTTGTCAATATACTAAGATATCAGTGTATAGACTTATTCAGCTATATACAGTTTTTGTTAAGTCTACAAATTCATTTAAAAAGACCTCATATCCTTGTTTATCTCAGTTGTTCAAAACTAAGAAAGTTTTACACTTATATTACATGTTTTAGCAAAACTATGAGATTTTTACAAACAGTGAATCACATTTGGAAAATTCCTTTTGGAATATACTCATATATATATGTTTATAAACTATTCTCCAAATTTTACATTTTTTAGAATTTATTTGATATTTTTTAACATGTTCCAAAGTTTAGCTTTTCTGTATTTTTCTGTTCTGTGTACATATAGTCGACTCATAAGTCGACTCATAAGTCAACTTATAAGTCGACTTATGAAGTGCAGCGGGATTGCTTTTTTATCTGCTGAGTTGACTCATATAAGTCGACTCATTAGTCGACTCATGAGTCGACTCATAAGTCGACTCATAAGTCGGCCGTTACACAGTAACGGTTAGTTTTCTGTTTTATGTGTTTGTGGTTTTTTGGTCTTTTTCTTTGGGTTTTAGCTAATGTATTGTGATGCTATATATACCCATATGCTCTAAATTCTTCTCTTCACCAAGAGGATTCCTTAATCAAGTTTTGAAAGAGTTTAGTTTGTGTTTAAGAGGTGTTTAAGCCTTGTTTCAAGTTTGGTTTGAAAAAGAGTTTGTTTTACAAAGAGAAGCTTACATCATTTGTTGAGGAGTTCATCCTCAATATCCAATCATCCTCTCTTTGTAGAGAAGTTTTCCTAACTCAACTTTCTAGCATTTATTTCTTGTTAATCTTATTGCTAGTTCTTATTGAGTTAGATTTTATTTAAACTCATTTATCACACACTCTTTTTGAGCTTGATTATATTTTATATAATATATTGGTGGGTAGTGTTGTGTGATTTAGTGAGAGTGAGCTTAATTGAGTTCTCGTCAATTGTAGAGAATAATCATTATTATATTGTGCTAATTGAGAGATCACTTGTAATACACTTGTACACTGAGAGGAGTATGTGGTGAGGACGGAGTCGATACCGAGAGGAGTGGCGTCGGTGGCCTAGTGAGAGGTGATAATTCCGAGCACTTGAGGGAGTCGATACGTGAG